CAGGAGGACAACTGGGAACAGGAGGACAATTTGGAACAGGGGGACAACTGGGAACAGGAGGACAATTTGGAACGGGAGGATATTCTCCTGCTGCTAAAGCTGCTGCTAAAGCTGCTAAATATGGTACAGGGTCTAAACTCAAATGATATCAATTACATATTAAAATCTGTTGCAAAAAGTGAAACATTTTTTATCTCCTCTCAGGTGTTGGTGGACAACTGGGAACGGGTGGGCCAGTTGGAACAGGACAATTAGGAGCAGGAGGACCATTAGGAGCACTGGGACCATTATGGAATAGAGAATACTCTCCTGCTGCAAAAGCTGCTAAATATGGTACGTCTGTGTTTATAAAAGTCATTACCACTGGGGACATTTCTGTGCATTTATAGTAATCAATATCTGTTTCATCATCACTCAACATAGTTAAATGAATCTAGTGCCTAGTGGATGGTTTGCTTATTTTATGACCATGTCTTGTTTGGAGAAATAGTTTGTTTTTCCAAACAAATATTTTCTAGAGTCAATATATCAAACTGGAAAGTATTCTACGGCAATACAAAACAACGATTTTTAAATAGAAATACCTTTGTTTCTACAGGACTACTGGGAACAGGTCGTGGAGGCACAGGAGGACTAGGAGGAACTGGACTAGGAGGACAGGGAGGAACAGGACTAGGAGGCACAGGAGGACTAGGAGGCACAGGACTAGGAGGACAGGGAGGAACAGGACTAGGAGGCACAGGAGGACAGGGAGGTGGAGGATACTCTCCTGCTGCTAAAGCTTATAAATATGGTAATGCTATCCACAAGCCTGCACAAAATAAATAATTAAAATGAAACCAATAATAACTACTAATCAAGATTCCTTTATTTTACACTCAAGGTCCAGGTGGTGGCGGTAGAGTTCCCGGAGGCCCAGTTTTACCAGGATACGGCTGTAAGTCCCCTTTAACCTGTAATGAAAAAAGGATTTTTCATATCAACTGAATTGATCTCTTTTCTGTTTAACCTGGACCTGTTGTGTTGTAGCTCTGGCCACTGGAGCAAAACCTCCTAAATACGGTGAGTCACAGTCAGATTGTGGGGTTGTTCCACATGATGAGACTGGCACTGAAGTTTGTTTTTATCACATCACAGGGGTCCAAGGAGGTCAAGGAGGTCAAGGAGGAGTTGTTCCCGGGGGAGCAGGACAGTTCGTACCTGGGTTTGGTGGCTACGGTGGTGAGTTGTTGAACTGATCTTCAGGTTTATGTTCGCTCCAGTATCTTCTGGTCTACATTCAGTGATCAACACCGAGCTGCTTCCTGACAGGTTATGGAGCCGGTGCTGGAGTCAAACCCCCTAAGTATGGTGGGTACTTTCCTGAAGTAACTTTTTTGTTGCTCATTGTACCTCAGCAGAACTATGTTAAATCACAGGAACAGAATATTATTTCCTACAACCTTCATTTTCCTTTACCAGGAGTAGCTACAGGAGCAGGAGCACCAATAGGAGCAGGACTTGGACCCGGAGCAGCTGGAGGAACAGGGTTGGGAGGTGGAGGATTAGGAGGGACGGGGTTGGGAGTTGGAGGAGCAGGAGGTCAATACTCTGCTAAAGCTGCTAAACATGGCAAGTAAAACAATAAACACACAAAACTCTATTATAAACATCAAAATTATAATTATTATCAGAACAAACAAAAGCTGTATGTACATGTTTCATACCTTTATATATATATATATATTTTTATATTATATATTATTACAGTATATATAATATTATATATACTTTAGTATTATATAATAGGGATGTAACAATACACTCAACTCACGATATGGTGATTCACGATTTTTTTTTCATGATATGATCTTATCACCATTTTTTAAACCAATGAGTTCCAAACAAAATATGACAAAATACAATGATTTCTATTTGTAAAAACTATACCAACTACCATGACCAACTGAAATGGTTTTGTGTACCTCATACACTGTTGTTTTATTTAAACAGCAGAGTAGAAAAAAAGCATTTTAGTTGCATACCGCCACCTACTGTACTAGAATGTGTAGTCTCAAGGTATGACCAGTGACTTCAACCAATTCATGATGCATTGTTGCATTAAATAATGTACAGTAAGACTAATCAAAATGACAGGATTATTTATACAGAAAAAAATATATAATTGTCTTAATCAACTTTATAGAGCTGGTGCATTCTCATTGTTGCTTTGTGGCTATCAGGTGGCGTTAGAGTTCAGTGACTGTTACAGTCACCTTGTCAGCCGTAGATTGACTAACTGCCTTATGCTCGGTGAGCATGGTTGGACAACCTTGTAAACACAACAGTCAGCCAAGGTGGGATTTAAACCTTGGTAACCCCTGGTAGCCTGATCTTCGAACCACAGACTGCCCCAGTGCAGTTATTTGTTATAATGTGTAAATTTTGAACAGAATTCAAAAGCTAAATTTCACAGTTGTGTATCTGTCACATGATGCTGACATTCTGCCTTTTTCAGGAAGCATCACTGGAGTAGGGCTCGCTGTCCCTGGACCAACTCTGTCCACAGGTGTGGGGGGTCTTCCAGATGGTTCTGCTTTTGCAGGCCCCGATGGGACTGGAGTTCCTGGAAAACCAGGTGAATCCAAGAATACTGTTTTA